GAGTATTGACCCTGAACAAACTGTCCCCTAGACCACCACCTCCTTATTCATTTTTAATTACTCAAGGGGGCTTCACAGAGCTCGTGGGAAAATTCCAGTATCTTCTCACTCATTTTTCCCAGAACCTGAAGTCCCCTCATGCATCTGGTTTCCATGATCTCACATCAATCTTGAACAGATGCAGCCAGCAATAGCATGACATTTGCCAAAGATCAGGGTTTCAATGTTTAGGGAGTAAATGACAAAATGAATATGATAACAAATTTATTAATATTTAATTTAATATCCAATAATTATATTATTGGATAAGGTAAGCAAATGCAAGTATATATCTTTTCATTTTATAGAGACAGATTGAAATAGAGAAACCAAGAATTGATCATATTTCACCTTATGAATGTCTCTTTCTTGCATCCAACAATTTTACTGCTCAGTTATTTCATCTTTATAAAACCAAACCCAAACAGAAATCTATCCACTTGCTTTCATCTTGTTCCATATAACAAAAGATTACTGAATTTGTTCTATGAAATTGTGTACCTCTTACTCTTACACTTGACACACAACAACAATTGAGTCACCAAAGTGACTCATTAACTTATATTCTGAAAGGAAAGCTTTTTTTAAAAAACGGAGGAGAAAAGAGCGCCGGGGAGGAAAGGACTATAAGAAACCAGGAGGGGTAATTTTTTCTCCAAGTTCCTAAAGAAAATAATGCAAAGATGATGTGCTGTGTATTCCCATATCAAACACGCAGTGCTTAGAAAAGATTACCATGCAAGGGGTTTGTGTAGTTTCCCCAAATCTGTACAACATACCATTTAGTTGAGTAAAATATGGCACATTATGTTCCCTCCAGATCCATACTGGCCACGCAGTATGTAGAACATTGCTCTGGGCTCACGGGGGGACAGCGGAGGCTGGCAGTAGAGGCATTCTATTTTGAGTCTGAGGGGTCTTCTCAGTTCACCTTTAGAGCCATGGAACCAACTGCTTGTAAGGCTTGGTCCCCCTTGCTTTCTCTGCACTGAATGCAACACCTCAAAGAAGTTCCCAGGGATCACAAGGAGGAAGGGAAGGAACAGCTCAGCCCCACCCCCTGACGGGAGGTCCTAGTTCTGGCAGCACAGTGGGTCCCTTTCCACACTGAGTTCCTTAGAGGACTCAGTCCTCCTGCAGGGTCCTCATTTAGGCTCATGTTGGCCCGGGAGACCTCCCTTGTACTGAGTGGCTGCACCTTAAGCCTGATATACAAAAGTGAGAGGAGCTTTCAGCCTGAGGGCTTGCCCTGGGCCTCCAAGAGCTGACTCAGAGGGTCAGGGCTAGACTCTGTTGTTTCCTCCATTCTGGGCGGATGGGCCCCTCAAACTTCACCCAGGATCCACACTTACAGAGCTGGCCATGGCTGAGGCTACCTTAGTTCTTCATCTGATAAGGCCCACAAAACCCAGAGACCAAACAGGAAAGAGGAACTGTAGTCTGAACTAGGATACCTGCCCATGATCTCCCAAGGTGAATGCCAGAGCAGGGGGGTCAAGTCCTATGATAAGTGCTTCCACACAGGACCCTCACTGTGGCTCCTAAATATGACTCCTGACAGGGACCAGAGAGTCCTCCTTCTGTTGAGTTAGGACCATCTTGGCTTGAGCCCAAGACTCTCGCTGTTACCCTTGAGGAGGAACTGAGGAGTGCCCCTGCCCAACTTTTGTGCGTGGTCCCTCCCAGGACTAACAATAAAATGAATGTTTATGACAAGCTCTCTGTTCTGGGGTTTTCAGAATCCTTCCCCTTAGTTCCTGGAAGGCTCACGAGCTCTCTTTCCTCTGATCTGAAGATGCCTCCCTTAGACCATACACCTTTCCTCCCTGAGACTCCTGAAAATAAGTGAGGAGATGCTCCTCCTTAGAACCCTGCCCAGGGCCTTGTAGGTGTGAGAGCAGGGGTATGCTGGCTCTGTGTCACTCTGTGTATTCTGGGACGTTGTTCTACCAGGTCTCCGACATGGGGTGGCCTATCTTGGACCCTGTTTCTTTGATTAAAGGTTTCTTGAGAAATACAAACCCTTAAGCCGTTTCCCTGCTCCAAATCTTGCAGAAAAGGGGGTTCCTATCGCAGATGCCTGGAGCGAGGTCAGCAGTCTGAAACCACCAGCTTCTCTATGGGAGAAAGATGAGGCTGTCTGTTCCTATGAGGATGGACAGCCTCAGAAACCCTGTATAGGGATGCTGTGAGTCAGTCTCAGCTCGATGGCCATGGGCGGAGTTGGATTGGGTTTGGTGTCCTAGGAGCAAGGAGGCCTGGCTGTGTAAGTGTTAAGCACTCGGCTGTTAACTGAAAAGTGGGCCCTTCAAACCCACTCAGTGACTCTGTGGATGAAGAGCCCACTGCTCTCTGAAGTCTACAGCCCAGGAAGCCCTAGAGGAGCCTTGGACTCTGTCCTATGGGGTCGCCATGACTTGAAAGTGACTGGACAGCACCAAACAGCAGCAACAACCCGGGAGTCACACAAGTTGGGGAAACTGTAGCACAAGGCAGGGAGCCCCAGGGACGTGTGGACTGTCAGAAGCAATATGCGATTGGTCTACTCCGTCCCTTCATTAACCAGGCTTTGATTTGCAGGTCCACTCTGTTTGGCGGTCTCTGGGATGCTTTTACGAGTCCCTGCTTGTGGTAGTTGCCTAATCTGGTGTCAATTTAAGGATTAAGAGAGTAGGGGTGGAGTCAAGGCTCTCAATACACAGATAGCCAATGAGACTTCTGTGTGGGCATGGGCTTCTCCTGAGAATTCTGGGAAATCTGGTACTTCTTCCTTGAAGGCAGATCACACCTTTCTCTCTCTGCTACTCCCTGGGAGACATTGCAGAAGGCAAGCGACATGGACACAACCAGACCTCAGAATGCAGAGAAGCCACAGAGAGACCCCTGCCAGCACTGAGATGCTTACAACGCCACTGGACCCAACAACTTTCTACCCCCAACAGGCTTATGATGGTCCTGCTTTTGGCTTCATTGCATGTGTTTTGTGAGTCTGAAGAGGACTTCATAGATTGGTATTGGACATATGGGCTTATATCAGACTTATGGCCTTGGGCTAGATGGGCTGGGATGTTTTCTCAATGTTCAATTCCTCTTGTATATAAACCTCTTGCTTATATACATATGCATGTTTATGAATTTGTTTCTTTAGTCTACCCAGGCTAACACACTGCTCTTTGAGGTGGTTTTGTTTTCTGTTTGAATTCAGTTGCTAGCGGAGAATATGCATTGCTCTAACAGCAAAGCAAATTAATTAAGTCCATGCCAACCCTATGTATACAGAGAAGAGTTTACAAGGCTGACTGAGCTTTGTACGGCCCCTTTGATAAGTGGTAGAGCACTTTACACCATCCAAAGACTGGCAGTGCTGTAGGGGAGAAAAATCAACCCCTTGAAGTCATTGCTTGCCAAGTAAAACTTAATTTTTCCTCCATCAGAGGAAATGTTATTGAATCTGAGTGTGGGAGCATCTTCCTCACCTGGATGCAACTCAACACTCCTGGAAGTTGTGTCAAGAACCAAAGGCTTCACTCCCTCTCAGCTTCCCCCTCCATCCAAGCCAGCTTATTTTCATTCAGTTCATGGTCACAAACAATCAAGTGCTCCCCTTGTGGCTGTTAGCTGTTGTTGAGTGGATTTCAAGTCCGACCAACTCCAGGTAACAGGATAGAATGGCCTCATTGGGTTTCCTAGGCATAGAGTTTGGCAAATTGTACTCAGGAAACCCTACTCCGAATGTCCTTTCGGTGGAGTGCACGCTGGCTCCCCCAGATCACTGGAAAGGACTGAAAGTTCTTGACCCCTGACCTCACCTCAAGGGAGTTGCACCTCATGTCTCAGAAACTTCTTGGGAATACTATGACTAAAACACCTAGTCACTGAGTGGTTCAAGTGCACTGGAACAAGAGCACAGGACACCTTCTGGTCTTGCCTTGGTGGGGGCTTCTAACTGACTGACTATGATCCCAGAAAAATGGTGAAGAGCCGTTCTGTGGCCAGACTCAATTACTGGATGCTGAGCGACATTGTGGGAGTGCCTATGGTTGACAAAGTTCCAGCAGCTTCATTAAGCAGCCCCTCACCCACACACACACACCCTTTTAACCTCCAGGACCACACAGTCTAATTTAAAATGACCTGCTATTTGGGGACTTGAAGTTTCCCAGAGGCCCGATCTGTAGTGCCTCGGGACATCTATGTCTGCCTGTTCTCACCTGCAAGCCCCGATCCCTCACTCCTTCTTTTTAACTGTCCTGTAGGCTTCAGAGTGTTTCTCTACCTCTTATCTGATAGGTACTTCTGAAGTCTTAAAATTCTATGGGCAATGGCATTGCCCCCTATGTTTCAGCAAGCCCAGATGTATCAGGAACCATCCAAATAAGGGGTGATAGTGGGGGGCGAGCAAAAGAGGATGTGGTCAAGAACTCTAATTTATTTATCATTTATTCTTAAATAAATCATACAGGTCCATACATGTATGGTTTCATTTTCAAAGTGAAAATCTATAACACATACCAAGATGCGGTCACCTTTCACTGTTATTTCTACTCCATCTTGTGCTTGCAGTGATTTTACAATGGCATTCATTCACGTTTCCACAAAAATTCACATTACAATCATGTTATATTATGATGGATCACCAGCGCACACACACACACACACACACACACAGGATTGTCTTTCTATTTGTTTTACAAATAACAAAACTGTGTTATAACTGATAAACAGCAATAAATGCATAAAACAAGTGATTCATAAACTTATAACCTGAGGAAATTAAGCATATAAACCTAATAATAAAACTAAGAAACCTAATAATACACAATATCCTCAAACTATGCATATAGATATATTGAAATTACTCATGCAGAACAGTAACAAAATGAAGAGATAGAGCTTATTCTCTCAAGCACAACCTTGACCTCCACGACCAGGACAAAATGCAGTGTCTGCCTAAGACTTCCTTAGAATGGGGAGCGACTGCCAGACAGGGCCATGGAACTTGCACTGGCCGTGCAATGTGTTCTAGCCCTGACTGTCATTCGGGCGAAGGCTGTCTCTTCCTCATCTCTCCAAGCCTCTTCATACAATGGGGGGAAGGCGCTGGGCACAGTATCATTGATCTTGGCCAAAGCTTCCAAGACTTTCATCTTGGTGGTATCAGCATGTGCCCTTGGACCAGACAGGTATTTGTAGCATGGAGGATCACTGTTGGGAACCTGCTGATATTCAAGAAACTTTTCCCACACCAAATCGTTGGTGAGGAATTTCCTGGGCTCCCCAAAGATTAAGTGCCTTTTTCCAGCAGAGATCCCCAACACATCCAGGAATTCCAAGATCTCCTCCCCAGTGGCTTGGTTACCATTCATAAAAATCACACCCAAGAAAGAGAGCCATCACCAGACCTGCTTTGGGCAACTCCATGCCCCCACTGAAAGTCCCTCCACCAGTGATATCCAGTTGGCTGATGAGGTGATAGAAGGTACCGCTGGGGTTAGCTTCCTTCAATTCAAGGCCAAAGACCAGCTCCATGCGCTCCGCGACTCCCCATAAGATTTCAGAGAAGTGCTTCTGGAACTTTCTGTTGACAGCCTTCAGCATATCGACCTTCAGAATGGGCTTCTTTATTTTATACTTGCCTATCAAGAACAGCACCAACAGGCCTGCCTTTCTGGTCAAAAGATCTCTCTTAGGCTTCTCAGTGGCAGATGGGCCCTGGGCAGGACTGGGGCTTTTCTCCTCTTGGCCCTTGGCATCTACATCAGATCTTCTGGATAAAACAGCTGAAGCAGGAGCAGTGGCTTCCTTAGCCTCCCGCAAAACACCCTTAACAGGGAAGCTCTTTGTGGGATCCCCCAAAAGATGGGAGGAAGAAGAGGGTCCTTCCTCCTCTCCTGCAGTAGCCTGAGCACCCTGGGCAGCCTGGCTTTGCCCTTGGGCCTGTTGGCGTTTCTCATGGACATGGCGCTTACTCTTCTGACTATGAGGCATAGTGACTCTCTTGAGATCCCTGTGGAAGAAGTTACAGTGAGCTTCCATAAACCAAACTCACAAACACCAAGTTGATTCTGACACATGGTGATCAATAGGGCAGTGTTGAGCTGGCCCTGTGGGTTTCTGAGATGGTAAATCTTGAAGAGAATAGACAGCCTCATCTTTCTCTGGAGGAGTAGCTCATGGTTTTGAACTGCTCACATTGTGGTTAGTGGCCCAACCTATAACTCACTACCCCACCAGTTTTTGCACATAGCCTACAGGGCCATCGTGTCCACTGTTAGCAGGACTTGGGTCCCCTTACCTTTGCTACTCTGATTTTAACACCATAAATCTCTCTGGAATCCAGGAGAAGTGGTTGAAGGGGAAGATGAGACCATCATCCCAGGCAGGGCACAGGCAGTACTGATAGTACGGGTTGAGGTCCTGTGGTGAATGAACTCCTGCGTCCTCACTCAGTTTGACTGACAGAGGCATCACGGTGACACTCTGACATGTGACCACTCCCTCTTGCAAAGCCCTCATTTCCCTGGCATCCCCAAGGAGACCCTGGGGGAGGTGGGAGATTCCTGCAGCCTTCATGGTCCTGGCTCTGACTCCAGGGGTGACTAGGAAATCCTCTGAAGACTAGTCCCTTAGATTAGGGGTGGGTGGGACACCTTATTTCTTCCAAGGGTCATTGGTATATGTATAACATCATTCGCAGGCCATACATTTAACTGACTCATCATTAATGTGATGGATAAAACTGCTTCTCTTTGATGAGGCCTGTGATGATAGTTGATATTGATGATTTCTCAGGACTTCTATGACCCACTGGATGTTCCCCACACCTGTATTTCACCAAGCCCTCCACCTCCCATGACTCCAGAGGACAAAGGAAGAAGGTATGCCAGACTTGACACCTCCACCCCATAGCCTCTAGGGGTTGATGGCAGGGGAGGGGCTCAGAGGTACCCTCTGTAGAAGGGTATGGAGCCTTCTCAGTTGTCTCTTAACTCCTAATCATGTTAAAGTAAACACAAAACTCACAACCCTGGAGTCCATTCTGACTCATAGCAACCATGTAGCATAGAGGAGAACTGCCCCTTTGGGGTTGCAGTTAGCAGCTCAACACAATCCTTTCTATCCCCCCAATACCCCTAACCACTATGGGCGTGTCTGGGATTTGCAAAATCTGCTCATCAAGATGAGTTCTTCTCAAGAAATCACAATCACAATAGAAAGCAAATCTGCTCCCGTGGAGTCTGTGCTGGTTCTCAGTGAATTCTAGCTTTAAAACAAACAAGCAAACAAAATCACAGCCATTGAGAGGATTCCAACTCCCAGGACCTTATATGACTGAGTAGAACTTCCCCTGTGTGTTTCCGAGGCTTCAGATCTGATTAGAAGCAGAAAGTGACATCTTCCTCGTATGGATTGATCAGTGGGTTTAAATCATGGACATCATGGTTGGCAGGTGAATGCAGTACACCCCATGAGCCCCTTGACTCATCTAGGCCCTGGGGATTCTCTATCTCCTGCCCTGGGACCGCCAGCACTGAAAGAGTTCCACCCTAGGCCAGAGTGAGAGGACTTTGGGCTTGATAGTCATGCTTGGGGCTTCCCAAAGCTGCAACAGGGACAGTCGTGGAGTGGGGTTCTGACAGCAGGGATGAATGAATGGGGAGCTCTATGGGGTCTCTTTTGTTCCTGGGGGAATAGACCAGCAATTCTAACTCAGGATACTCACCTTGACCCCTGACAGGCCCTGGATATGCTCCCTGTGCAGGATGATGACAACACTAATCAGACGCATGCCTCAAGTTTTAGTTTCTGGTAGCGGGGCAGGCAGCATATCACTCTGCTCACCTGGGCCCCGCCATGGTGATGGCAAGGGCAGGGCTCCTGGATTTCTTCATGGCAGGATGAACAGGGTCAACAGAAGTCCCTTGAAGGCCTTCGATTGACTTCTGGCAGGGCCTGCCATTTCTCTATTCTCAGCTGACTCGCTCAACTTCCGAACACAGCCCTCATTTCCTGGGTCCCACTAATCGGAAGTCAAAGGAAGCCAGAGCTTAGTAGCCATGCATAAGGTCTCCTAAGACCCACAGTAAGTCCTCAGGAGGGAGCCCGTGGAGCACAGAGGGGGTGGAAGAGAGAGGGGCAGAGTCCAGGTGTCTGGGTTCCTATAGGCGGGGCTCCTCAGTGGGTCCCTTTCTTTTGGTTTAATGGAACCTTTACTTCTCCCTCAGCCTGTTACCTTGACTCTTGCTGGGTGCCAGACCTTCCCCTTCACTCAAGTTAATATGTGTCTACCCTCTCATTAGTGATATGCCCTGAGCCTTCTCATGTTTCCTTTGTTACTGATACTGTTTTACTTAGGCCTTCTCCCCCTCCCCCCCAAGGGTTAGTTTTGAGCACAGAAGCCAGCGACTGGAGATTGGCTTTCATGTTAGCAGCTATGGATAAGTTTCTGAATCTGTAAATAATTAACGGAGTATTGCCCAGCTCTTACATGCACACGGGGCAATTAACATGCTGGCTTAGCTTGGGCACACCTTAGTCCTCAAGGTGACATCTCTGCTTTTAAGCACCTTGAAGAGGCACAAAAGCTTAATCCAGGGAGGAGTAATTGAAAGATTAGCCGTTTGAATGCACCCACAGATGCCTTGAAAAAAAGGCAGGGAGATCTGCTTTGAAAACTTGATGGAATCATTCCCCTCCATACACATGGGGTTGCTCGCCACCAGAAATTACTCAACTGCTGCAAAGAACAACACTGATAGCGATCCTCTCCCCCCAACCCCCCTACACACCAGACACTGCTCTACCGGATACTTTCCTTTGCCTATGTCTACAAGCCAAGAAATACTGAGCAACTTGAGGAATTCTCTCCTCCTTCTAGGCCACCCACCCACCACCACAGAATTCCTTTCAAGCCAGCAGGACAGAGTGGCACGGCCTCTTTGGGTTTCTATGAAGGTACGGCTTTACAGAAGCTGGGGGCGCACCTTTCGCTTGTAGGGTGGCTTGAGTGTTTCAACTGCGGACTTTGTGCTTGATCCACCATGTCACCAGGACTCCTGCCTCTAAGCTACAGGAACAATGTGTCATGGCAGCAGAGCCGCGGGGCGCCATCAGCAATTCTACCATCAGGGGCTGGTCTGACGGAGGCTGGAGCTTTGGAGAGGATGTCGAAGACACCATCCCCTGATGCAGAGGGAGAAAGGAAAAAACCTCAGCCCACTCCCACACTCTCAGACGCTCATCTCCCGCTGTGGCCACATCTTGGATAAGAGCAGGGCAGGGGGATCACTGGGGCTGGATCTGGGTGCAGATTGCTCCATGATTGGCATAGCTCATGGAAAGATGAAATCAGGAAAAATCCCATGTAAAGTCCTATGAAAAAGTTTTTTTTGTCTAATTTAACATTCGTTCATGAAAATAAAAAGTTACCCCATGAGATAGATTGTACCTGTAAAGATGAAAACAGCCCAACTGTTACATAGCATATTTTAATTGGCAACATTGGAAGTCTTTACTTAAAAATAGAAAAGTAGACCAGAATGCATGCTCCCACTATTCTTACTCAACATTGCAAGAAAGAGACTACATAACCTACTAACGAGGATCTGAAGAATCACAGAGAAATGGTGTGGAAAATAGGAAATATAGCTATGGTCATTGCCAGGCCCTGCGTCGTCCTCATGACTGGGTTTACGCTTGAACCCAATCCTGTAGCCACTGTGTCAACCCCTCTCCTCAAGGGCCTTCCTCTTTTTGAATCAATATCTGCATTATTAAGCACAAAGTCCTTCTCCAGGCACTGATTGCACCTGGTGTGCAAAGTGCAGGATAGCAAGTCTTGTCATTCTTCCTTCTAAACAGCATTCTGGCTGTACTTCCCCCAAGACAGGTTTGTTTGTTCGTTTGTCTGGCGCCCAATGGTCCTTAGAAGCAAGAATGGAGAGACTCCGTCTTCCATACTTTGGACATGTTGCCAGAAGCCACTAGTTGCTGGAGAAGGACATCATGTTTGTAGAGGAGAGGGGCAGGAAGGAGAGGAACAACTGTGAGGATGGTGCAGGATGAGGACGCGTGCCATTCTGTTGCGCATGTGCGCACTGTGGGTTAGAACAAACTCGATGGCCCCTAACAATGACGACTTGGCACTTTCAGTATCCGTCCCCAATGCTAACACCAAAGTTCAGGGCCTTCCGTTTGCATTGCCCTGCTAGAAAAGCACCCTGAGCTCAAGTATTTCTATGCATCAGTCTAGACCTTAGGAAATAATGGCTCTAGCTTAATTTCAGTTGTGCTGCTCTTATTATTAGTGGCTATTGAGTCAATTCTGCCTTGTGACATCCCCATGTGTACAAAATAGAATTGTGCCATTGTGTTTTCAAGACTGTGAACTTTTGGAAACAGCTCACCAGGCATTTCTTCCTTGTCTCCCCTGAGTTTTTTTAGCTCCGCCAACCTTTCAGTCTTTAATCATTTGTGCCTCACAAAGACTCCTATTTTGAGATGCACAGCAAATAAGATTAGCTTACCAAAAGGATAAGCCATATCTTTTGTGAGAACACAAGTAGAAGGATTAGAGACAAACACAACAACCAATCCATGACCATCGAGTCAGTTCTACCCTGCTGTATACGGTTTCCATGAGAAGGAATTCAAGTGTTAGACTAGAAAGGAGATTGTTGAAAAATAAAAGGGGCATCGCCTTGTAATACTCCCAAACTTCCAGAGAAGAAGGAAGGTACATTTTATGTAGATGGTGGAACACTACCTAGATCGGTACAAGATCTTACTGAGGTAAAGACATTGAATGTTCCATTTACCTCTGTGTTTCTCAACTCTACCACTATCCCGGTTGTCCTCAAAGGGTTGCTCTGTAGTTGATATGTGTCCTGCTCATATTATCTCATTTCTCTTTTGCTCTTTCTTTCCCTCTCCTCCACATCCCTTTTCCTCTTGCTCTCTCCTTACCTGCCCTCCTTCCATCCCTGCCT